TTGTCATTGGTGCGGAGGCCCTCTCTAGGGCCTTGAATGCTATGGTAGAGCGACGCCAATTTCATCCATATAAGGTACCCATTGGGTGTCCGGTGGTCACGCATTTGGCTTTTGTCGACGACGTGGTCATCTTCACCAGCGGGCTGAAGTCCTCTCTGCAGCTCTTAGTGAGGATTCTGGAAGATTATTGTGCAGTTTCGGGTTAAGAGATTAACAAGCAAAAGAGCTGCTTTCTAGTGCACCCTCGGCTCTCCCCGCACCGCTGCAGAATTGTCAGTCAGGTAACGGGCTTCCAAAGGAGAGAGTTTCCAATCAAATACCTGGGATGCCCGTTATTCACTGGTCGACAAAGGAAAGAGTACTTTGGGGAGATTTGTAGGGCGGTTGCCAACCGAATCTTATCTTGGAAGCAGCGAATTCTATCGTCAAGAGGACGAGTGGTGCTTCTCAAGCACATCCTATCCTCTCTGCCGATTCACTCACTGGCGGCAGGGTCACCACCTACGGGGGTCTTAAGGGAGGTGGAGAGAGTTATGGCGGCATTCTTGTGGAGAGAGTTATGGGGGTCAGAGTTTGGCCCGAGGTTTCACTGGATGAAATGGGCGGACCTGTGTAGGCCATGTAGCGAGGGAGGGTTGGGACTCCGGCGGCTTACAGAGATTTATCAGGCATTCTCCATGAAACTGTGGTGGAACTTCAGACAGGGGCGCTCTCTGTGGGCCTCCTTCCTGGCGGCCAAATATTGTAGAGATCGACACCCTTGCCTGGCGGAGAAGAGGGCAGGGAGTTTATACACTTGGAGGCAGATGCGTATGGTCCAGGGCTTAGTGGAGGACAATATTGGCTGGATTGTTCAGTCACGAAGAATAGATATCTGGCATGATAACTGGGTAGGATCCGGCCCTCTGTGTCACCGAGTGGAGGTCTTCCAGAACCAGCAAGTGGTAGATTTTGTTAATGGAGGGGAATGGAATGCTTGGTTGCTTGCACAAGTGCTACAGCCGGAGTTGGTCCGGCTGGTGATGACGATCCCTCCCCCATCACTTCATGGAGAGGATAGAATGGTGTGGATGTTGACCCCTACTGGGAAGTTCACGGTCGCCTTAGCTCTATCGCTCGTGCGGCCCCATTTTAATGGGTCCTTTGTTGCAGCTTGCATTTGGCACAGATTCCTGTCAATAACGGTCTCCTTTTTCATATTACGCTTACTCTCAGATAGACTACCCCTTCTTGAGCAGTTACGCCACTTTGGAGTCCAGGGTCCTTCCCGATGCTGGTGTTGCGTCAACCCCGAGAAGGAACTTTTGAATCATGTGTTTTGCACAGGAAAAGTTGCCCGTCAAGTATGGAAGGCGTTTGAGGTTCATGATGGGATGTCATCTCGTATCAACTCGGTTCGACATATGGTAATCACATGGTGGATACGACCTGCTCCAAATCGGTATTTGGCATTTGTCTACTACCTCCTACCTTCTCTTATTTGCTGGGAACTATGGAGGGCAAGGACTTAGGCGTTAATGCATGGTGGGAGGTCAGAAGGGGGAGAGGTAGTGGCTAGGACCTTGTCTAGGGTCAGGGATCTGCTACACTTACAATTTCCTCCATTAACATGGGCCTATGGCACATGGGGGAGTTTGCATGCGGACTTGGAAATGAGGCCTAAGCGGGTGCTCATTCGGCCTATAAAGTGGCTGGCTCTACCAATAGGTTACAAACTCAACACCGATGGGTGTTCACTTGGCAACCCAGGGATGAGTGGCGGGGGAGGGTTGTTGCGTGACTGCCAGGAGAGATTTCTTTTTGGGGTCTCCTGCTTCTTTGGTGTCACCATTAGTTTGCAAACTGAGCTTCGATCCTTGCTTTATGGGGTAAAACAGTGTGTAGCGCGGGGCTACAAGGAGTTGCATTTAGAGGTGGATTCTCAGGTTCTGGTTCGAATTCTGTTAGGGGACCTCGCTTGCCCTTGGCATTTGCAGGTGGAGTTGGATGATTTGTTTCGGTTTCAGGGAATGTTTCGGTCCATAACGCACTGCTTTCGCGAGGCAAATAATCCTTCGGATCGGTTAGCCAAGATGGGGGCGACCTAGGGTCGGGACATCTTGTTTGAGTCCTTTGCAGACCTCCCGCCTCTGGCGCGGGGAGACATTTGCATGGATAGGTTAGGCTTTCTAAGTTTTCAGAGATAGATCTTTTAGTTTGTTCTTTCTGATGTAATCACTTCGGGAATGATTCAATAAAAAAAAAGTCTCATTGGCTTTTAAAAAAAAAATGTATTACTCATATTACTGTTATCATCGTATAATAGTAGTTTCATCGTCTCAATGTTATATTGGTATCACTTCTGAAGGCTAGATTTATAAATTGTAACTCAATAAATTTTGTTTTATATTTTGGCACAAGATATGCGATCTCTACCCAAAAATAGTTACACCATTGATTATCATTCTTGAAAGCTAGACCGAGAAATTGTAACTTCACAAATTTTGCTTCGTATATTTTGACAAGAATACTATATCATAATTTACCATACTTTCTTTGTGTACAGGGAGATGACACATACTCCATAACTAGTAGAAAGAAAAAATACTATGGTATTAATAATCAACATTAATTTTGTAAAATACTTTAGTACAAAAAAATAAAAAATTAAAATATATATTTAATCACATGCAAAGAACGTGTGATATTACTAGTATATACGTATACATACACACATTAAAAGTATGAGTCTTAACATTGTAGAATGTAAGCACTCTTTGATATTACTTTTTATTGTGCCTATATTACGCTCCGTGCCTCTTGGTTCTTTCAATAAGATTTATTGCATTTTAATTGTGGTAGTAATTAAAAGTATGAAACATTCCAAATGATTAAATCTCAATAATGTTGGTAATTAAAATGAAAAACTACCTGTTAAAACTATTTAGCAACTCGTGCACTCCATTTCCAATACTTATGTGTGTCAAAATTTCTTATTTGAAGCAATTTCTTAATTGAAATAGTGTGACTAATTGCATTAGCCATAATTTTGAGATTATAAAAAATGTTAGTGTCAAAAAATAGATGTTTTTAGAACAAAAGAGAAAGATATAAGAAGAAAAGTGTCCATATTCATTTGGAGAATCTTGATATGAATATCATGAGATAGATGCATAGTTATATGCTGCTTATCAATATGAAGAAATACAAAATCAAAAGCAAAAATAAAAGAATCCAGCTATTTCTATCAATTGAATTTCAATTGACAACTAAATAACCAATCTAAGATGATTAAGTATTGTAGTGGGGCAAATATACACCTAACACGTGTCAGGTCGGCATGCCGCGCACACCAGGTCGGCAATATGGATCTGGCGGCTCGGTTCACCCCAGCTCGGTACAAAGGGGCCAGCTCAGGATCAACAGTCGTCTCACTTTACGATGGGCCTACTGGGCCGCCGCGTCCGAACTTTTAGGGGTTGCCATGCAAAACCCTAGGAAGACTCCGAACCCTAAGGGGACTTTGACTCCCATAAGGAAACCACAACCCATTCAGTCCTATATATACGACGCTACAAGACTACACAAGGTACGCATACACATGCCCATTACAAGTACTCTATACTACTACCCTATCCACAAGCTCAACTGACTTGACCGTCGGAGCTATTCCGGGGACTCTAGTCCCGCCATTGCTCTTTCTTTACAGGATAACCAGTTCGATACTCCACTCTCGGTTCGGCTGCACTCATCCAGCTCGGTTCGCAGCAGCTCAGCTCGAACTGCGTTCTTGGCCGTTGCATCAATGGCGCCGTCTGTGGGAAGCACATAATTCTTCTTTTGCGAATCATGCCAAGAACGAGGTCTCAGAGAAACGCTGATGGATCCAAGGGGAACGAAAGGAGCAGCTCCCAAAACCCCCCTCGGGGTCCGGCCACGGGAGATGAAGGGGCGGAGCTCTCCCGGATCCCCCCTGAACAGTTGGTTCAGACGGTGGCAGAAAACCTACCGACTTTCGAGGCCATAATGAATTACCTCAAGGGGCAGACGGGAGGTCATCCTGGCCAGGGGTCAAGAGGCCAGGGAGAGGGGCAGTCAGAATCCCGGACGGGGAGCCCTAACTCCAGGCCCAAGCGGGCGCGCAGGGAGCTCACGCGTGACCAGGTTGACATCGTGGAACCTTCCCACAAGCATTCCCGAACAGAGCATCCAGTGCCCTTCCGGAGGCTCTCCCCGCGGAAAGAGCAGCTCCAGGTACAGGACGAGTTGGACCTGCTTTTAGACCCAGAGGCGGACAGGTACATCGCTTCCCCCTTTGTGCCCGATATCGAGGATTATCCGCTGCCCGCGAAGTTCAAGGTACCAAGCATGAAATCTTATGATGCGACCTCGGACCCAGAGGACCACTTGTTTGCTTTCATGACGCAAATGCGCTTGCAGACGGCTGCGGACGCGGTCAGATGCAAGACCTTCCCAATGTTTCTGGAGGGAAAAGCACGTCAGTGGTTCCAGGGGCTTCCCCCTGGGTCCATCAGATCCTTTGCCCAGCTTGCACGACTGTTTGCAGCACAGTTCGTTTCATCGCGGGCCTTCTCTAAAAGCACTGCTCATTTGATGACCATCCAGCAGAAGTCTGAGGAGTTCTTGCGCGAGTTCATGGTACGTTTCAATAACGAGTCTCTCCAAGTCTGCGACCTGGATGACAAGGTGGTCATGGCAACCTTCATTAACGGGCTGCGCAAACAGAAGCTCTACACCAAGCTCGTGGAAAGACCTCCGAAATCAGTTCGGGAAATGCTGGACCGAGTTCACAAGAAGGCCAACGCTGAGGAGGCCAATCACCTGAAGAGTACGCAGGAAAGGCTGAGGGACGACAAGCGCAAAAGAGGCATCGATCAGGTAGACGCGCGGCTTGGCCAGGGGCGGAAGAGTGCCTACGACCGTCTGCCAAGGAGTCGCCCAATGGGGAGGACAAGCCATGGACTGCCCTCACTGCACCACGAGCACGGGTCCTCGCGGTAATGGAACAAGAAGGGCTCTCCCGACCTCCCCGTCCCTTGGTCGGGGACAATAGCAGGCGGGACCAAGGTCTGTACTACGCATATCACCGGGATGTGGGACATGATACGGAGGACTGCCGTCACCTCAAGAAAGACATTGAAAAGTTGATCAGACGAGACCACCTTGGCCAATTCGTGCGTGAGGACCGAACTGACCAGCGGCGGAGGAGGCCCAGACCGGAACACCCGAGCTACCCCCGAGACCGGTCTCAGGGGTCTCGTGGCCGAACTCCCGAGCAGGAGGCTCAGAATCTGGCCGGGGTGATCAACACTATTGCAGGAGGACCAGTGAGAGGCAATAGCCATGCAGCTCGGCAGCACAACCGCCCTCTCCCCAGCGGAGAGAGTTCGAGCAAACGATTGAAAATGTACGAGAAAATCATTTACGGACCTGAGGATGCGGTCCCGTTGGCCTCTAATAATCATGAAGCCATCGTGATAGAGGTCTTTACCTGCAACTACAAGATGAAGAAGGTATACATAGAAAATGGTAGTGCCATAGACGTGTTGTATTATAAGACCTTTAAGGAGCTACAGCTAGAGGACAGACAGCTCGTCCCAGTTCAAACCCCCCTGATCGGTTTCGCAAGTCCCCCGGTGAGGCCGGAGGGGATGATAACTCTCATGGTGACGGTGGAGGTGTCTCCGAGGTGCCGAATTGTTCCGGTGAATTTTGCGGTGGTAAAAGAACCCTCATCGTACAATATGATTCTGAGACGACCCACCTTGAACGCCCTTCGGGCTGTCTGCTCCACCCTACACCTCAGCATGAAGTTCCCTACTCCTGCTGGGGTAGCTGAGGTGCTGGGAGATCCGGAGGTGGCTAGGGCATGTTATATTGCCACCCTCAAGGGCAAAGAGAAATTGGTAGCTCAGACAGCTTGTTTGGAGCCGTGGGAACCCATGGAGAAAGGAGAGAGACTAGAAACGGATGAAGGGCTGGTCGAGCTGCCTGTGTGTCGCGACTAACCTGAGCGCACAGTCAAGGTTGGCACTGGCCTAAGCGAGCTAATCCGGAGCTCTCTGGAATCTCTATTAGAGGAGTACGCGGAGATTTTTGCTTGGAGTGCTGATGACATGCCAGGGGTCCCCACCGAGTTGGCCGTTCACAGGCTGCACGTGGACCCCAACGTCCGACCTGTAAAGCAGAAGAAATGAAACTTTACGCCAGAGCTAAATGAGGTCGTCAGGAGTGAGGTCAACAAGCTGCTGGAGGCCAAGATCGTGAAAGAAGTCTTTTACCCGACCTGGCTGGCTAATCTAGTCCTGGTGAAGAAGGAAGACAGGGCCTGGAGAATGTGTGTGAATTTCACTGACGTGAATAAGACTTGTCCAAAGGACTGCTACCCCTTACCACGGATTGACCAGCTCGTGGACTCAACATCTGGATACGAGATCTTCTGTTTCTTGGACGCCTTTAAAGGATACCATCAGATAGCCTTGGACGAGGAAGATCAGGAGAAGACCTCGTTTATCACCTATTGTTATGTCACCATGCCGTTCGGGCTGAAAAACGCGGGCGTGACCTACCAGAGGTTGGTAAATAAGTTGTTCAAAAATCAGATCGGTCGAAACATGGAAGTCTATGTAGACGACATGTTAGTGAAAAGTCGAGCTCAGGAACAGTTCATCGCTGACCTTAGAGAAATCTTCGAGGTTCTTCGGAGCTCACGAATGCGGCTAAACCCCAAGAAGTGCACCTTTGGGATCAGGTCGGGAAAATTCCTGGGCTACATGATTTTCAAAGAGGGGGTAAGAGCTAATCCCGATAAAATCAAGGCCATCATGGACATGGCTCCGTCTCGAAATATTAAGGAGGTACAACGCCTGACTGAGAGGATGGCAGCTCTGAACAGGTTCTTGTCCAAATCAGCAGTTCGGGGATCTCCTTTCTTCAAGGCCCTAAGAGGAGGTCGGCCGTTCGAGTGGAGTTCGGAGTGCCAGAAGGCGTTTGACGAGCTGAAAGCTCACCTCGTTCGGTTACCGGCCCTAACCTCTCCCGAACAGGAGGAGATCCTGTTCATCTACTTAGCTGTGGGGGAAGAGGCCATTAGCGCGGTGCTGGTGCGAGAGGAGAGCAAAGTTTAGAGACCTGTATATTATGTTAGCCGCGCCCTACAAAGGGCCGAAGCCAGGTACTCGGCGATAGAACGCTATGTCCTGGCATTTGTACATGCAGTTCGGAAGCTCAGATCGTACTTCCAGGCTCACCCTATAGTAGTGGTGACGGACCAGCCCTTGAAGCAGATCCTCTCCAAACCTGATGTCTCAGGTCGGATGGTGAGGTGGGTTGTGGAGTTGTCAGAGTACGACCTGGGATATCAGCCGAGGACGGCCATCAAAGTCCAAGCGTTGGCAGACTTCATAGCGGATGGCGTTTCTTTTGGATCGTCCGAGACGGAGGTCGATCAGGCCAGAGACATACAGGCTGGAAAGGACAGAGAAATACCTAAGGACGCACACGCCAAACAAGCAGCCGAAACCCTATAGGTCCGAAAAACTACTAGAGCCACACCGACCCCAGAGGCAGTCGAGGTCCTAAAGGCTGGAGACACTGCCGAGGTCGCCCCGGCTAATCAGGTAGCAGAGGTCGAACAGGCCGGAGAAGCAGCTGAGGCTGAGTAGGCCAAAGAGGCTGCCGAGGTCGAACAGGCCGGAGAGGCAGCTGAGGCCGAACGGGCCAAAGAAGCTGTCGATGCCGAACAGGCTAGAGAAGCAGTGGAGGCTGAGCAGGCCAAAGAAGTTGCCGAGGCCACGCCTGTTGAAAGGGTAGTCAAGACCGAGCTGGCCAGGGAGGCTGCCCAGACCGGGAAGGCTACGGAGGCTGCGGGACGAGCGGATCCCACCTGGACGTTGTACGTGGACGGTGCATCAAGTAAGGAAGGATGTGGCGCAGGACTCCTCCTAATCAACCCTACTGGGGAAGAGTTGCCCTACGCACTGAGGTTCGATTTTAGAGCCTCTAACAATGAGTCCGAGTACGAGACTCTGATTGCAGGAATGGAGCTGGCCCGGAAGTTAGGGGCTAGATCGATCAAAATCTACAGCGATTCGCAACTGATAGTGAATCAAGTATGGGGGAGCTACGAGGTTAAAGAGGGGTCACTGAGGAAGTATGTCACCAAAACGCATGAGCTAAAGGGCCAGTTCGAGCAGTTCGCGCTCGAGCAGATTCCGCGGAGCCAAAACAAGAGAGCTGATGCCCTGTCCAAATTGGCCTCTACCTTGGGTGGCATCTTAAGTCGAGAAATATTGGTGGAGGTCGTCAGAAGTCGGGCATATGAACAGATAGGCGCCGCAGTCATTCAGGTGGAGAGCTCTTGGATGGATCCCATCGTTCGATATCTGACTCATGGTGAGCTTCCACCGAGCAGGACAGAGGCCTGCAAAATCCTCCTCAGATCATAGAAGTACGTGCTCACGCATGGAGTCCTATATAGGAAATCTTACTTGCAGCCCTGGTTGAAGTGTGTAACGCCTGAGGAAGGGAGCTATGTCTTGCGCGAGCTGTATGAAGGCATTTGCGGCAACCATGTCGGCCCAAGAGTGTGACAGCCCCACCTTCCCCTAAGGCGAACCAAAGGGGTTAGCGGACTGCCTGCCTAACTCTCGCCAGGACTAACGGATCAGTTTACGTCGATCTACTACGTTCCGAAACACACCAACGCGCGCAAACAAGTCAAAATCACAAAATAAAAAAAATGAAAATCGAAACCGATGATGAACAATACCGGCCACGTCAGAATCCGGAGTTCAACCAAACATCAATCCAACATATATACATCAAAATTTAACATTTACAAGCCAAAGCGGCATACCAAAATATCCAACAAGTTCATACATGTGCAATTAGCCAATTACAAACCAACCATTGGTTGAAACAAAACACTTAGGGTTTTCACCCTCAAGGAGCTATTCAAAATATACATTTACATGAGTTCAATTTGACAACCAACTAGCACAACCTTTCCCAAAATAGTCATTTTCCTGTAAGGAAAACAAATGGAACGGAGTGAGCTAAAGCTCAATGAGTTACTACCACATAAGCAACGAAGAGCATATAGCATAACCTTTCATTTCAAGTACACAATTAAGAAATAAAACAAATCTGTAAAAGGATACGGACGGCTCTCAAGAGCCCCTTTCCACGCTTACATTCTTGATCCAACCTCATTGACCCTCCGTCAATATTTAAGAGTGCCAACCGTAGACCTCACTTCACTTCCATTCCTTCCACCCAACATACCCCAACCGGGCCCGCACTCCAATCAGTTGCTTTTGGTAATACTCGAGTTTACCGGAATCAAGAGTCTCATTAGTACAAGATTTCCCAGTACAGTCCCCGTGGCATGTCAATTTTTACGACCAATCCCTTGCCGGCTCGATTCATTTGACTACCAACGGGGTTGAGCTCAGTAACACAGTAAGGCCGTTGGATATTCGTCCAAACGACACCAAATCAGGTTTCCATGAAATGGAATTCAATAACTCATATATCAAGTTCAGTATCACAGTGAAACGGTAAACAGTTATTAACAGTATCAAAAGGGGTGAGGGCGGTCAAGTACACCCTCACCTTAACCAATTCCAATGGCCAAGTAAGCCTTCACGGCATCACAATCACATATATCAAAGCCACATTGTAAACATTCATGTGAGTAGTACACTCACCAATCAAGTAGGTGATGTTTCATGCACCGTCGTCAAAAGTACGTCGTAAACCACCGTCACGCCCTAGAACACGCAAACAAGTACAATGAGACTCGATAACGAGTCATAAAGCAATGCCAATCACAACCCCAATAGGGTTTCATAAGCATATACAAGCATTAAAGGAAACCAGAAATTTCGGAAATGTAACTAGCTTTGGCCCTGAAAAAATAGTTGTTGTCCTCATTTTACGGTAATGGTACCAATTTCACTACGATTATCGGATGAGGGTGCAAGACTCACCATCTCGAAGCTAAAAGACAGGGCTACAACATCATAGAAGGTCACTCAACCCAGTTTTGAGTGCAAACAGGTCAAAAATGCAATATACTACATCAAAAACGTAAAACAGATTCACCAAAATGCATTCTAGCGGAAACATCATAACTCAGGCTCTACAAGTCCAAATCCAGAAATTCCAAAACCAGCTGAAAGCTAAGAAACAGGGCTACAATAATGTAGAAGATCACTCAGTCCAATTCCTAGCACAACCAGGTCAAATATGCGAGATACTAAACCAGAACCACAATAACGGGTTCACAAACTACATTCTGCTGTAATCAGTACAACTCAGTCTATACAGGTCCAAATTCAGAAATTCCAAAGGCATATGGTAGCTAAGACATCAAGCTACATTTCATCAGAAGACCTCAACAACCAAATCCAAAGCAATTCCAGCCAAAACAACCAATTTCAGACGCAGTTCTTACATTCGGATGAATCCAGAACAGCAATAGTAATTTCGACTTATCTCTTTGTACACTACTCCGATTGACCTGAAATTTTGTAGGCACCTCTAAAATATCATTCTCTACAACTTTCATGTTTTAAGCTAAGGCCAATTCGGCCTCTATCTAGGACCTAAAATTTCGGACAGAATGCCCCCCTCAAGAACCCTAGTTTTCTGAAATTTCTTCCAAACCAGAAATTGGTTGCAAATACCAATCGTGTACACCTACTAGAGTCATTAACCATCATTTCCAACCATCATAGATAGCCACAACATCATGATCACATTAAACCAGAAAAATCACCAATAAATTGAAAACTTCATCAATTCATCCAAAAGCAAGAAATAAACCACAAAATTCATCCCTTTAGCTACCACTAGGCACAAGTTAAGCTTCATTAAGTGAAGGAGAAGGTTCAATCACCACTCACCTAGTAAACAAGAGAGGAAGAGTTGTTTGTCACCTTAGCTTCCCCAAACACTTCACCAAACCACTTACTATCACCAAATGGAAAGGTTTTATGGAGTA